TCTCTCTCTCTCTCTCTCTCTCTCTCTCTCTCTCTCTCTCTCTCTCTCTCTCTCTCCCCCGTCCCATCTATCTATCCATCCATTCCATCCGTTCCATCCATTGCATCCATTACATCCATTTTGTCAGTGCATCCTACATTGATCCATCCTATTCATCCATTGCATACATCCTTTCCATCCATATATCCATCAGACCATCCATCCATATATCCATCAGTCCATCCATCCATCCATCCATCCACACCATTGGGATAAAGGACATTGATATCGGGACAGGGAAGGGTACCAAGTACTACCAACGATGAAAAACTTCATGTGATGAAGGTGGCCATGACCAAGATGGTGATTTCGATTTAGGAGTCGAGGGACATCACAGGGATTACCGACCTAGAATTGTTGTTCCGGATAGTCTTCGCATTCCCGAATGCTTCGAGCAATGGATTCGACTGGAATACAGGGAACGAGAAAACAAGGAGCAAATGGAACGATCATTTGTAAATATCGGTCAAAACAAACAAAAATGGAGGAACAAATTTGTCACCGAGCACAAGAGAAGAGAGGGAAAATTTGTATTCAAACTCAAGACGAAACAGCAACTAAAAAAGGTTTCCACTCGAGCTCTCAAACGCATGAGAAGTCACAGTAAAAAAGGTGACATAGAGAGACTTACGGATACTACTGTCGTCCCCCAAGTACAACATGGATACTACTGTCGTCCCCCAAGTACAACATGCCGTCTTTATAGCCGTTTTGGGGCAACTTTCAGTCTATAAGAACAGCGACAATGACCGCACGTTCTATTTGGAGGAAGAACGTGCGTAGCAAATCTAGATCGGCCTAGAGCACATGTAGAGTAGGCGCGGAGAACCGCACTAACAAATCATTTTTTTTTATTTTTTATTTTTTTTTTCCAACCATCAACCGCACTAATGAATCATTCCTTTTTTTTTTTTTTTTTTTAACCGACCATCTTAAGAGCAAGAGAGCGAGCGATGTACGGATATTACCATGCAAAATTTGTGAATTGATGCCTTAGGACGTGAAATGGTGTCCTTCGGGACATCGTTAAATTTGGACTGATACAGAGAAGATTAGCATGGCCCCTTCACAAGAATGACAAGCATTAACTAAAAAGGGACCCACGTAACCAACCGATTTCTGCATTTGACATATAAGAATGTTTTTCTATTATATAGAGAAGCAGCAACAACATGTAATGACCCGCCAAAAACACAGACTGAGAACACTGCTGATTTCTTGGATTTGCCACTGGAATGAATGCCTTGCTGTGATTCCCGCATTCTGCTGTGGTTTCCAAGTCTGTGTGTTTGTGCGTGCCTGCTGGTTTGCATGCCTGTCTGAGTGCTTGTCGGTTGTCTGTGTGTGTGACCCGCAAGGGTACTTGTTGGTTGCAAGGCCCCGCAGGGCCGATACTTACCTGTGGCCGTGACTTTGAGGGTTGCAGGAGGATAAACACTCAAGTAGCGGGGGTAGGCCCGCGACACTTAGAGCAGCGGGAAAAAACACTCAAGTAGCAGGTAGGCCGGTACCACTCGAGTAGTGGTAGGAGTGTCGGGTACTGGAGGCCGAGCAGAAGAAGACAAAAAGTTGATCCACTGACTTTCAGCAATTTAGATACAACGAGTTCACGGTGGAAACTGCATGGACTCGTACACCTTCAGTCCAGGTCTACGGACCTCCATTCCATCCTTATAGATCAGATCCAGGTCTGGTCAAGGTCCAGACCCACCACCCCATGCACAGACTTCTGGCATTAGCATTCTCCCATTCTGCAGGATCAGATCCAGCTCCATAGCCCAGTCCATGCTGACAGAACAGGTCCATGGGAGGTCAGGTCCAGGTACGGACCACTCGATGCTCAGTCCACGTACATACACACACAATCAAACACACAAAGACACAAGCACACAAGCACACAGATGCACACGCCCACCCTCCACAAGCACACACACACACCATTGTGGGTCTGGTCGGTGCTTTCTTGTTAGTGGAGCCCTTCGTGTTGTGAAGCGACTATTTTTTTTTTCTGTGCAACTGTAGTTTGTTAAGTATGTACTATGTTGCCTTTAACCCTCCATCCTTTTATAGAATTTTTAGTAAAAATATATTATATACAATATATATCTCATCAAACAGAGCTGCCCGGTAAACCGTCGGCAGAGAGGGAGAAGAGGACAACACTTGAGGGGCTGCAACAAACTGTTTCATCAGAGTTTTGCCAACTCATCAGGAGGATATATAGAACGTCAAACAGAACATATTATATGTACATATTTGTTGTCCTCATCTCCCTCTCTGCCTGCGGTTTACTGGGCAGCTCTGTTTGACAGTATATATACATATTTTTAGTCTATTAAAGGATGGAGGGTAAAAGGCAACATTCTTAACAAACAACAGTTGCACAGAACTCAAAAAATTATCAAACAGAGCTGCCCGGTAAACCGTAGGCAGAGAGGGAGAAGACGACAACAAACGAGGGGCTGTGACAAACTGTTTTGTCGGAGTTTCACCGACTCATAGTTTGCGCTTAAGCCAACCACTCCACCGGACCCTGCACTCTCCATTTTTTATCATGAAGTACCGGGCTAAAATCTGCAGTGCCCATGCCTTGTGGAGGTTCGGCAGCGATACAGGGTACCACAACTATTTTGCCTCGCAGCAGAACTGTAGATTTTAGGCTTAGGGGAAATGCATCTTCTAATATAATGGCTTAGTGGTGGTTTAATCACACACACGTGGCCAACCTTGCATCTTCTACTATATTGTCTATTTATACTTTTTTCTCGTTTTATGGATGGTTTGTGACGACTTGCGGATGGAATAAGAGAGAGAGTTTCGGGTTTTCTGACACACACACACACACAAAAGAACGCCATATATACGACAAGTAATGCGGACCTCAAGAACTTGTTGCTCTACTGTTCTTCCTTCCACTCCACTCCTTCCTCCCATGAACGCCAAGTACTGCATGAGCAGCTTTGTTGTCTCTGTTTTCCCCGCACCGCTCTCACCGCTAACTAAGACCGCCTGGCTCCTCTGCTCATCCATCATTGCTCTGTAAAAGTGAATGACACAATAAACAATAGGATAATTTCAACAATAACGAGCGAATGAACGATGCCAAGACCACAACGAGTTTGATCACAGACAGACCTTCCATTCACAAGTAGGTCAATTGAGAAACTCGAGATGACCAGAGCAGCACTGAAATTTGAAATTCGTGTCACTGGCTGACTCGATCGCAGAGTTAATCAGACCCGGAAAAAAAAAAAAAAAAAAAAAAGAGAGAGAGAAAACGAAAACAGCAGATTCATGTAGATATAGAAAAAGCACACCACATGGGGCTTTATTCCCGTGGAGGACATAATGTGCCAACAGTTAGAGCCAGAATGAAGACACTTCGCTGTGGCATCGTCCTTCTGCCTCGTCCACTCAGGCAGAGATCGTCCAGTTCAGTCAGAAAAAGAAACGTAAAGACATGCCTAACATCAAATGATTATCTTAATTTTTCTCAAAGTTTTCAAATTCAAACAATTACAACAGAACTCACGTGCCAGCCAAACGAGCCCGGTATGCAACAAGGTCACATGCCCCCAGTATGCCAGAGATCATCCGCTCCTCTCTTTTTTTCAGTTGATTTATTTACCTGTTTATCCTACTTGGGTAGCCTTAGCTTTGTCTGCTGTCTAAGTGAGTTGCAATGCCAACGCAACACTCCTCTCTCTACAATGTTTGACAAACTATCAACGTTATATAATTGCCTTTTTTTCCCCCAACTTGCTTATTCGAAGTCACTAATTTTGGATTTTCTTTTCTGTATTCATTAACGTTGGTGCCGTGCATGCAGATTGGGGAGTTGGTGCCGTACATGCAGATTCGAAGTCAATAATCTTGATGGGAGGACGGGGGGTTCAGAATTTCAGACTCGTCAAGGGGATTGGGATTCAGACTGAACATCAGTGGGGTTGGGATGCAGACTGATCGTCATTGGGATAGGGATTCAGACTGATCGTCATTGGGATAGGGATTCAGACTGATCGTCATTGGGATAGGGATTCAGACTGACAATCATTGGGATAAGTTTTGAGACCGACCATCAGTGGGATTGGGATTCAGACTGGTCGTTGCTCGGACTGAGATTCAGACTGATCATCGGTGGAACTGATCATCACTCGGACTGGGATTCAGACTGATTATCACTCGGATCGGGATTCAGACTGATCGTCAGTTGGATTGGGATTCAGATTGATCATTATCAATGGGATTGAGATTCAGACTATCATCAGTGGGATTGGGATCCAGAGTCTTTCAGATTGATCATCAGTGGGATCGGGATTCAGAGTCTTTCAGACTGATCATCAGTGGGATCGGGATTCAGAGTCTTTCAGACTGATCATCACTCGGATTGGGGATTCAGACTGATCATCACTCGGGTTTGGATTCAGACTGATCATCAATTAGATTGGGATTCAGACTGATGGTCACTGCATTGGGAGGCAGATTGATCATCATCAGTGGGATTGGGATTGACGTCTATGAGTAAGCAAACAAGTCTTGCAGGCGAGAATCGTTCTTTTATCTTTCTTTTTCTGCCGGGGAGGAGGGGGAGGTGTACGTGTAGGGTTTTGCACGGAGTGGAGACAGAAGGACAGGAGGGCGAGGAGGTCAAACGAGACAAACATAAACAACACTCATCATACGAAACTGGTGGTCGTGGATTTGAGCCCCACAGATGCTGCTGAAACGGTATTCACCAGTTCGCAGTAGCTGATGCAGATCCCAGGGCTCGATCCCTAGTCCCCACCTTACCTGTGTACAGTACCTGTGTTGACCCGTGGAGTTGAACCCGTGACCTGTGTATTTGTAACAGTTGGTAGGTCGTCGTAGGGTCCGTAGGCCGTCRGGGTTCGATCTGTAGACCTGTCCAGTAGAAGTCCAGCCAGGTCTAGAAGTCGTAGCTATAGGCTTCTCGAAGAGTCAAGGTCGTAGCTAGTCCAGTCCTGAAAAGTCAAGGTCGTAGCTGCGAGAGGACCGAAAGGCCAAGTCCACGGCCTTCTAGAAGGGCCCGGTGGTGGCCTTTCGAGGTTGCCCACGTTTAGGCAGAGGCAAGTGGGCAAGTGGTGGAAGTCCACCGTGCAGAGTCAGCAGTCCCAGTCCAGTCAGTCCGGTCCAGTCAAGCAAGTACCGCCTGGGACTGTGTGCACCATGGGCCAGGGAAAAGGGGCAGACCGACGAGTCACAGAAGTATAAATCAAGAGGCCGCGCACAGCCATTCATTCATTCCTGCGGAAGCCATGCGGAAGCGCTGTCTCAGCGGCTTGTGCGAGGAGGTCTGCAGCAGCCCGAAGTCGAAGTGGACGAGAGAGACGAAGTGCAGCCATAGCAATAGGGTAGAGGCAGCCATCGCTGCCATAGTTGTAGTTAGAGTGAAGTGTGTGTGTGTTGTGTGAGTGTTCAGCGTGTCGCGTGTGGGATATCCAGGGTGATCCGGTGGGTGTGAACAGTGAGTTGTTGGGCGCTGAGTCGCCATAGCCAGTGAAAGTGAACTCTTATCTGGATACCATATCTCTGAGTTCTGTGTGGGCACATGTCGCCAGTTTGCTGTGATGCTGTTTACATGCATGAAAGGTGTGAATGAGACGAGTCTGATTGCATTGGTATCGGCCAGTTTGCTGTGATGCTGTTTA